GGGGAGGCTGCGTCTGCTCCCCGATGCCCACGGGGCTATCTCCTCTCCCAGGGGCTATGGGGGGGGGGTCCCCTGCCACGGGCCGGGAATTCCCATGAGAGGAGGGAGCTGTCCCCCGTAGGGCCTGGGGTTGGGGGCACTGCCCCAGGGATGCTGCCCGCCTCAAGAGACCCCCAGAGCCGAAGGGAGGAGCTGAGTAATGCAGGCCCCTCAGTACCCAAGGGGAGTTGCGGGGACAGCCCTTTGCCAGGGTCTCGCTGTCTTCCCCAAAGGATGGGGCGGAGGAGGGGGGCGTGATCCCGCGGCCGCTGGCTTGACGTTTGCGGACAAGCCGGGGGCGCTGCGCCCCTGAGCAGGGGCTGCCGTCCGGGCCGGGTAGCGAGGCCCGGAGGACCCGGGCGGGGGGAGTCCGAGTTCAGGGGCGCGCCGCTCCTACCTGCCTACGAAATTCTCGAGCACCGAGCTCTTGCCGGCGCTCTGGCCGCCCACCACGGCGATCTGCGGCAGGTCGAGGTCCGCGTTCTGGCCGATGGCGGAGAAGGCATCCTGCAGCCGGTTGACCAGCGGGATTAGATCCTCCATGCCACGGTTGCCCATGGTTGCGGCTGGCCCCACGGGCTGCGATCCGGCGGCCGCTTGGGCTCCCGGCTTTGGCTCTGCCGCTGCAGCGCGCGCTCAGACTGCCTGCGCCGCGGGCCCCCGCCCCTCGGGGATCGGAGCGGAGCACGGTGTCAGAGTGCCGCTAGAGGGCGTCCGCAGCCCTCCGGGCCGGCAGTCATGCGCAGGCGCCGCCCGTGGCACTATGGGGACTGTAGTTTTCTCCTTCTGCGGCTTTTGGGGCGCTCGAGCCGTGTCTGGGGGAAGCGCGGATGCTGCACCGCAGACATAATTCCTGGAAATGGTCAAGGTCTCCTAGGTACTAGGTACCGTTAGTACCAGGCCCCTCGGATAGTGGTCATGACTGCCTCACTCCATCGTACAGATGGGGAAACTGAGGCTTGGAGACATGGGCCTCCTCCAAGGTCATAGTCTCCTGACCTTCAGTTCCACTTGCCCTCACTACCTTCTACTCTAGGTTGTGACTAATTTATCTCCGGCATTTCCCTTCCCGACTTTGGGCCTCAGTTTCCCTGTTTCTAGAAGGAGAAGATATAGAACATTAATTCAACAAATATTTACTGAGCACCTACTATAAGCCAGACCCTGTTCTAGGCGCTGGAGATACAACAATAAACAAGACAGACAGTTGGAGATACAACAGTAAACAAGAACAAGAACAAGATCTTCCCTCATAGATCTTACAGTGGAGACAGACAGTAAATGAATAAACAGATAAATGAAACAGTAAAAGTGAAAATAGTTTATACTAATAGTGATGGGAGAAATAAACATGGGGTGTGAAGAGAAGTGCCTGTGTGGGTGCAGAGTTCTCTTTAGCCTGGGAGGTTAGGGGGGTTCTCTGAGGAGGTGACATTTGAGAAGAGACCTAAATGTTGAGAAGAAGCCAGCCAGGCCAAATGAATGGCAAGTACAAAGGCCCTGACACTTGGAAGGGCCTTCCTGGGACAGTTGGGACTTCTTGTCCCGAAGAGTGACAGTCTTTTCTCCAAACCATCAGGGTGGTGGTAAAACAGTGGGATTTGAATCCAGGACTTCTACAACCCTACCCTGTTTATCCTTTCCACATGGAGAGACCATGGGGCCCCAGGCCTAGGCATCCACGTCCGCATTTAAGGAACCTAATTTGGACTCCCCACAAGGCTGGAAAGAAAGGCCAGCCTACCCTGTGCTACTGGGGATCAGCAGGTTACTCTGTCTGTGAACAGAGTGGGGACACTGCTGGGAGATCAGTGGCCTGTGAATTGGAGACTGTTGTGCATTCACCCATTTAATGCATATTTATTAAGCCAGGAACTATGCTAGACCCCAGTGATAAAACAATGAGCAAAATGGATAAAGCCTTTACCCACATGTGGCTTATAGTCTAGTGGAAAAAGAAGGACAAAGCACAAATGAGACAATAAATATGACTGTCAGATGGTGATGAGTGCTTTGGAAAGCAAGAAAGCTGGGGAAGTTGGAGGAGGGCGTAGTGTTGCTATTTTGTTTCGAGTGGTCAGAGGAGGACTCTGGTAAGGTAAAAATTTGAGCAGAGACCTGAAGGAAGTGAGGGAGCAACTCATGTGGACATCTAGGGGAGGAATTTTCCAGGCAGGCAGAGGGGAATAAGCAGATCCCATCCCAGGAGCTGGGCCTGGGTCTCAGACGAGCTGTGTGATCCAGGTCCCTGCAGATCTTTGAGCCGCAGTTATCCAATGTGGGAATGCCTGCGAAGGGCATGGCCCTGGCATGGCACTTAGGAGACCCTTATTAAACTGCTGCTGATGATCACAGCCTTCCAGATAGCTGGAGCATCAGTCACACACAACACACATCCCGTGCAGCTGCTCCAAGCCAGCCCATTATTATGCTCTGAGAGCCAGAGAGGGCAGAGATGAAGCCTGAATTGGAGCCATTAATTTGGAAAGAGGGTGCAGGTTACAGATGTCTGCCTAGAAGAGCACCACCATGGCTGGGTTGTTTTTCCTAATTACAATAGGGAAACTTATTGTAAAAATCAGACCTTACACACTGTTTGAAAGCTTCTGGTCATTCTCCCACTCAGAAATAACCACTACTTATAGCTTAGAGTTTATTCTCTGGCTTATCCCATATATATTCATTTTGTTTCATTTTGTTTTTATAGAAATGGGACCATACTATAAATCTTGTACTGCTGTATCACCCATGCCAGACCAGCAGCCTGGGCATCACCCCGAGTTTGTCAGAAATGCAGACTCTCAGGCTTCACTCATGACCTGCTGGATCACAACCTGCATTCAACAAGAACCAAGGGCCCCTGGAGATTCTGGTGCACATCAAAGTTGGAGCTCTAATACATACTATTATATGCAACTTGCTTTTTTAGCAACAGTATGTCTTTGACGTCTTTCAGCATAAGAACAGTTTGGTCACGTTCCTTGTTCACAGATGCATAGTTTCCCACTGTTTGACAGTGCTCTGGTTTTGTTCCCTGGTCTGCTAAAAATGACTGTGCTGGGCTTGAAGAATGGATGGATACAACGCCACTTGGAGGGGAGTGTGAATAGAGAAGTGCTGATGTTCTGGGCAGAGGAATCAGCATAAGCAAAGGTATGGAATCAGAAAGAAAACGAACCTGAAGTCTGCCCTGTCCTTGTTCCCACAGGTCTTGGTGAGGATCAAAGGAGGGACACTGTAGATGGTTCTCCTAGGTGCTGAGAAGTTGGAGGTCCAGAAGGCCAATGAGTTAAATGAGAGTCTTAGAAATGGCTTTGACCCTCTACTTTGAGTGCTAATGAGGGAGAATTCTCTCTGGAGCCCCTGAAGCTGTAACCACCACCTATGCTTGCAGATCAGTAGCAGGAACACTCACTGTGCATTTCTTCCTGGACCAGGTTACTGTGCTGAGAGATTCAACCCTCAGGAGGGAGAAGTTCTTATTAGTTCCCCTTGATAGATGAGGCAACTGAGGCACAAAGAGGAATGTGGCTGAGGTCACAAAGCCAGAAAGTGATGGAGTGAAGATGTGAATTGGAGGTACGTGAGACCCGGGGCTTCTATGTTTATATCCTTTACTGCACCAGCCCTTGCAACCTATACACTTCTAATGCACATGAAATAAAACACTAGTCCCTTCTGATGGGGTTTTTGTTGGGCATACAGCAGGTGCTTAATATATGCTGGTTGTATTAAATTGTGCAATGGCCTTATTGCACAGCCTTGACCCTATAGCTCCTGGGTCAAGCCATTATATTTAGTCACTACGTCTGCTCAGGGTCTGGCCCTTTGGATTCATTCATTCATTTATTCTTCAGCAGGTATTAATCAGTGGTTACTTCATACCAGACCTCAAGCAAGACATAGGGGGAGGTTGATAAGACGCAGGACTTGTCCTGCTAGAATGCGGATCCACTGTGAGAAAAAGACAAACTAAGCAGACCAGGTGCATGAAGCCAAGACACCTGGCCGTGTCTGGGGCAAGGTCACTGCTGAAGAAGCATCTGGGCCAGTGCCCTCGTCTGTGTGGCTGGGGGATGGGCACCAAGATTTCCCAGGGGCTTTGGGGCACCAATGGTCCAGGCATCTGTGCTTGGAATTCCCCATCTTACAATGAGGACCTCCCCATAAGCCTGGAACAACAACATAAGCCTAGATCCCTTGTATGCTGAGGACCAAGGGCGCAGCTCCAAAGCTAGATTGCCTGCTGCTCAAATCCCACCCCTACCACTGTCTAACCCAATGACCTTGGGCAAGTCAGTTCACCTCCCTGGCCCTCAGTTTCTGCATCTGTAAAAGGGGATATTACCTAACTCATAGGGTTGTGTGAGGAGGATTCAGTGATGTAATAATTCAGGTAAAACATGAAAACAGTGCCTAAAACAATGAATCATTAGAGCTATGATTAGTATAATCATCATTACCGTTGTACTGTCTGAAGAAACTTCAGCCTCATGAAGGTAGCAAAGCATGTCACCTCTTGGTGGGAAGGATAAGGGATCATAAACATGCCAGGATTTGTAGGGGAGAGACAGAGCTAGGTCTGGAGGTGTGGATTGGGGGCCAAATGAATGAATGAATCCAAAGGGCCAGACCCTGAGCAGACTTAGTGACTAAATATAACGGCCCTGGGTGGCTAAGCTTGTGGAAATCCCAGGCCCCAGGGGCCCCCAGATTACCCAATTATTCCCCATGTGGACAGAGGGCTTTGAAGGTATATCTGGCAATCAGGAAAGGCCTCCTGAAGAGGCGATGTTTGAATTGAGCTGGGAAGACTGGACAGGGATCGGCCTGGTGACGAGTGAGAGGAGGGGGGAGCGTTGTAAGGGAAATTTAGTTCCTTTGGGGACAGAAGGCAGCCACTGTGGCTGAACCTGGTAAGCGGTGGGGAGACCCTATTACACATAAGCCAGTCCTGTCCAGCAGAGATGGCCAAACTCAGATCCTAAGTCGGGAGGGGTCCTGCCCCAGGTCTCTCTGGAAGGTAGGGGCAGCAACAAGGCTGTGCCCACCGTGCCACTCCCACCTCTGTTCTCTGTTCCCCTCACCCTGCTTAATAATAGGTAAAGGCGCAGGTGGATGACAGATACTGATACATGATAACCGTATGGCCTTATATTTTTCTCTGCTCTAGTCTGGCCGGGAGCTGTCGCTAAGCATGGACTATTCCTGGGGTTTCTGAGCTGGGCGTCTAGTTGTGGGCATACTCTGTGAGCCTGCGTTGGCGTGCTGTGCTGGGTGCCTTGATGGGACTTGCTGCTGTGCGGTGATGGACATAGATGTCAAGAAGGGAAGAACTGCTGTGATGAACACCAGCCCGAGGATGGAAGGAGGAAACTGCATCCTGGAGTCATTCGTTCATTCATTTGCTCATTAATCAACCTTCCCCAAGCAACCATGATGTACAGGGCTCAGAGCTGGTGTCCCAAGGACATGGGGACAACTCAGCAGCTGCTTTCTACTGTCAAAGGGCACATGACATTACTGAGGGCAGAAATAAGAGGGGGAAGTAGCAGGTTACAGGATAAGGACACCACAATCAATAGCTGGTTAGAAAGTGTACTGGGGGGCTTCCCTGGTGGCGCAGTGGTTGAGAGTCCGCCT